AGCCCTAGGAACTTCAAACTTTGTAATGATGATTGGTCGTGACCAGCAGATGACCCCTATTGAGTTTTGGGTCAAGGGGTCAAAGTCATGACCAGTAGATACTTTATAACCTTATTAATTGTTTGATCACTGGGTCAGAAGTCATGCATAATAACCTTATCACATGACTAATTGGCTGCTGATAGGGGGCATACATGTTTTACAAACATATCTTGTTTGAATATATATTTCAGCGAATGCCCAGCGTGTTGAGAAGGTGTCATTACAGCAGATACAGGAATTAATACACAGAGTAGAAGAGGCTCTAGGGTTACTGAAGGTTCTGGTGGATCATCAGTTCCATACCATGGCTGCTACACTTTCAAAAGTAACCTATACTTTTAGTAACAATGTTTTCCAGTGGAACAATCTGCATATTACAGAAACTCCACTGAGGTCCAAAAGCCTAAAAAATATAAAATTTGAAATTGATTGAATAAATCAACAGGGATACTGAAAACTGAAAGATATGCAAATGATTATAAAGATGTTTACTAAAAATTTGATTTAAAATCATATTTTTTTGCGAGTATTTATTTATTATCTTATTTATTTTTTGGTAACTTTTCGCAATTTAGATAATTATTCTGGAAGAATGGAGTGAGCAAATGATATAAAAATTTTAGTTGCAAGTTATTGGTCTAGACCTTCATCAAATGGTACATAAATCTGGAAGAAATATTTTCAGTCCCATCATGTCAAAAATCTTTAATGGAGTCTCTTTTAGAGCCTTGTTACATATTATCAAGATATTATTGTGATTTGATTGAAAAATTTATCAAGATTTATAGAATCTGAATAACTACATTGTTAAAGTAATTAATATAATGTGCTGTGCTATTTTTCGTCATCTTTATTGTAAGATTTTTATGCCCCCACAATGTGGGAGCATATAGCGTTGCACTTGTCCGTCCGTCCGTCAGTCCATCCGTCCGTCTGTACGTCCCGAAATCTTGTGAACGCAACTCCTCTTAAACCGGATGGCAGATTTTGCTTAAACTTACAGAGATGAACAACCTTAATGTGTAGATGGTAGTAAAGGAAAGAATTTTTGCTGCGACCAAATTTAACAGAATTATGGCCCTTTGTTGATTTTTTCACTATATACTATGTAGAAATTTTGTGAACGCAACTCCTCTTAAACCGGATGGCAGATTTTGCTTAAACTTACAGGGATGAACAACCTACAGGTGTAGATGGTAGTAAAGGAAGGAATTTTTGCTGCGACCAAATTTTTACAGAATTATGGTCCTTTGTTGACTTTTTCACTATATACTATGTAGAAATTTTGTGAATGCAACTCCTCTTAAACCGGATGGCAGATTTTGCTTAGACTTCCAGGGATGAACAACCTTAATGTGTAGATGGTAGTAAAGAAAGGAATTTTTGCTGCAACCAAATTTAACAGAATTATGGCCCTTTGTTGATTTTTTCATTATATACTATGTAGAAATTTTGTGAACGCAACTCCTCTTAAACCGGATGGCAGATTTTGCTTAAACTTCCAGGGATTAACAACCTTAATGTGTAGATGGTAGTAAAGGAAGGAATTTTTGCTTCGACGAAATTTAACAGAATTATGGCCCTTTGTCAATTTTTAGTTTTCAACTTGTGGCACATGTAGTCCAAAAAATATTTGACCTAGAGTCATAAGATTGACAGAACAGTGGTGTGTGGGGGCATCCGTGTCCTATGGACACATTTCTAGTTTATTTGTATTTTGTACAATTTTTGCCATTATTTTGTTCTTGAAAATTTGAAATAAGTGCATTAAATTTTTTTATGTCAATCTATTTATTTGAACACCCAAAATAAGGGTAAAATTGTAATATCACAAGTTGTTAATTGATGCAAATATGGCAAAATAAACAATGTCAGGTGACTTACAAAAAAGTTGAGTCTGAAATTTTTGCATATAAATTTCTTCATTTCAGGATGAACAAAATCAGCTCAAATCACTGACATTCAAAGAATTTGTCATCACCGGAAAAGAGGTAGGTTGTTACTGTTTACAATTCTAGCATTATATTTAACATTTTTACCTTGAGCAACTGAACCAGTGCAGACCCAATAATGTGCTGACTGATCAGGGTCTGCACTGTTCCCTATTCAGTCAGTACGTATTTTGAGATTTTCCCTAAAAATGATGAATGTTTTTCCAGATTGAAAGATTGACTAATTCATTTAAGATATTTAGTGTATTTGTAGTAATGGTTAAACAGCATGCTTGTTAATTTTTATGAAAACTTTCATACTGTTCTGATGATTAAAAATGTTGTTTAGTGTCTAAGCAATCCTAAGGCTTTTATTATACATAGAAATTATCCATTGCCAAATAGAGCTTGCACACGAAATAAGTTGCCAGTGTAAATCTAATTTATAATGTAGCATTGTAATCCAAAATGAAAGACTGATGACAAGTGTTGGATTCAATTTACAAAATACAATTCTGGTTTTGATTTGATTTACTATCTCTTACTTTTCAAATGCAAACAATGCAAACACACCTGACCTAATGGAGCTTTAAGTCACCATAATGGCATTCAATATAATATAATTATCATGACAAATATGAGGGGGGAAATGTTTTATGTTTTGAAGATGCACCAAGTATATTCAAAATCATATATTTAACTTGTTTGTGTATCACAGCTCTGTGGCACATTGATTCAATGTATAATCAACCCTTACCTTGACTACATGTGTATAACTTGTATGTATATTACAGCTATGTGGCACTTTGATTCAATGTTTAATCAACCCTTACCTTGACTACATGTGTATAACTTGTATGTATATTACAGCTATGTGGCACATTGATTCAATGTTTAATCAACCCTTACCTTGACTACATGTGTATAACTTGTATGTATATTACAGCTATGTGGCACTTTGATTCAATGTTTAATCAACCCTTACCTTGACTACATGTGTATAACTTGTATGTATATTACAGCTATGTGGCACTTTGATTCAATGTTTAATCAACCCTTACCTTGACTACATGTGTATAACTTGTATGTATATTACAGCTATGTGGCACTTTGATTCAATGTTTAATCAACCGTTACCTTGACGACAATGCTACCACAGATGCTATTAGTAGCAGACTAAGAGAAATATGTCCATCATTATACAGTACAGATGATGCTACTTGTTCTAAGGTAATAACATCCTTTCAGTGATAGTTGCTGTCTGTTAACTTCTGCAGTGTTTATTTTTTGCATGAGCATTCTCCTTGTATTTGGACATCTTTGGTTTGATTAACAGCTGTGTTGGACCAGTATTATCTATATTTACATGTGTTCTGAAAAAACATGTACATAGGCTATCATAATTTGGGGCAAAATATTAAAAATTAGTGGGCATCTTTGACACATTGATGGATTTTTCAGTGAGCAAAATTGCATGAATTTAAATTACAAACAAGTCTGAAATTATTGGTATTCTGTCTGCCCACTAAGCTTGATGAGAGAGCATCAGATTTGTAATGCAGAGGTGGCTGGTCTGATCCTTGGCAAGGCAAAATTTCTCCTCTTAAATATTGATTTCAGATATTGAGTCTAATGGTCATTTGTCTCTCTTTGGTGATTTAGAAATCATATTGGGTGAATAATGGTTGCTTAAGGGGAAAAATAAAAATTACTGGTTAGTTACCCAGGAAAGCTGGCTAGGTGGATCAACCACTGAGATATGAGATATGTCAGAAGTACATGTTGAAATTGGCGGAAAAACTAGACAAACAAACATACATGAATTTTGTTGACAGTCTTTCTTATATATTCCTTACCACTTATTTTTAAAAAAAGGGTTGTTTTTTTTTTACAATGAATGGAAAAATGTAGAACCATGTATAAAATAGGAATATTTTTTTACAGGCCAATGAAATGTTACAAGCAGGGAAGATTAGTCAGAGTCCAGCAGAAAGACGTCGCCATCTTGTTGAGGCACTCCGGGTAAATAGTTTCAACACTTAACTTGTATCTCTGATTTTTAAGAAAGCTGAAAGATTAAAACGAGAGTAAATCACTGTGACTATCTGTGGACATTTTGATACATATTTTAATAACAAGTTCTTTTATGGGAAAAGAAACTTAATGTATCTTGTTGGGAAGAGAATAACTTAAAAAGTTCCTTTATATGGATTTTAATTGTATACTATTTTTGTTGGGGTTTTGTTTTTTTTTTGCTATAATTATATGCAATATTTGTTATTGTTTCTATTTACAGTTGTACAAAAGTGTATCACAGCCGCTGCAGTTAGCTGAGGTGTGTAATCAGTTCTCAAGTGTACAATTTTATGAGGGTATAGTAGATCTATGTCTTACCATGGCAAACAAACGAGACCCGCAGAAACTTGCGTTACATTTTTACAACAATGACGAACCCCCGGAAGATATGCAGGGGGTACAGGAACTAATGGCACGGTAAAATGCTTGACATGTATTATGTTTAAGTATATTTATTCTAGGTCAGATAAAAATGAAAGTAGGTTGCATGAATTGATACAGAAGTTATCCTGTCTGGTTAATTTACGTACCAGATGTAAAGCATTAATAAATTGGAACTTGGTTTGTAAGGTCTCGTCTAAAACCCTGTTAGTATTGTAACTGGTCAAGCAGGGGGTCAAACTCAGTATATATTTATTATGCCCCCGCCATGTAATGGCCGGGGCATATAGTGTTACCCTGTTCCGTCCTTCCATCCTTCCGTCATTCTGTCATTCCGTCATCATCAGTTTCCGTTCATTATCTTAAGAACGGTTGCACACATTCAACTCAAATTTGACATATGGATATGTCATGAGAAAATACAGGTCAAGTTCGAATTTGGTCATGGTTCGATGATTTTTGGCAGAGTTATGCCCCTTTTACTTTGAAAATAATATGAAATTTCAGTTTCCGTTCATTATCTCCCCAACGGTACAACACATTCAACTCAAACTTGACATATGGATATGTCATGAGAAAATACAGGTCAAGTTCGAATTTGGTCGTGGTTCGATGATTTTTGGCAGAGTTATGCCCCTTTTACTTTGAAAATAATATGAAATTTTCAGTTTCCGTTCATTATCTCCCCAAAGGTACAACACATTCAACTCAAACTTGACATATGGATGCGTCAAAGGAATGCGCAGGTCAAGTTCAAATTTGGTCATGGTTCAATGATTTTTGGCAGAGTTATGCCCCTTTCACTTTGAAAGTAATATGAAATTTTCAGTTTCCGTTTATTATCTCCCCAATGGTACAACACATTCAACTCAAATTTGACATATGGATATGTTTTTGGAATGCCCAGGCCAAGTTCGAGTTTGGTCATGGTTCAATGATTTTTGGCAGAGTAATGCCCCTTTCACTTTGAAAATAATATGAAATTTACAGTTTCTGTTCATTATCTACCCAACAGTGTTACATATGCAACTTAAATTTGACATATGTATATGTCAAAGGAATGGGCAGGTCAAGTTGGAATTTGGTCATGGTTTGATGATTTTTGGCAGAGTTATGTCCCTTTCACTTTGAAAATAATATAGATACATCTTAGGAATAAGCAGTTTAAGTTTGAATTTGGTTGTAGTTCAATGATTTAAGACAAACTTATCTTTCCTGAATGTTGGAAAAATTTTGAACTTTCACTTTCAGCACTCTTACTTTTAGCCATTATTTTGGCTACAAATATGCAATATGCTATTTTTAAAAGGTTTAGACTGAATAATTTCAGTGCCTTGAACATTGTATGAAAATGGTTTGTGTTAACATTGAAAAGTTTTAAGGGCTTTGAACTTAAAATGAAAAAAATAATTAAAGCACCATCTGAAATTTTGGCTGCATGCGGGGGCATCCGTGGCATGATGACACATTTCTAGTTGGTATAAGCATTAGCATTGGACCAAGATCTTCTAAATTTTTATTTAATGGCTAGTCTTGTTATCTTTAACTACTCATAATATGGCGTTATTATGTTCTTATTAAATCTCGTTTTCCTGGAGATCTTGTGCCTTCAGTGTAATTGTCTTTTTTTCTCTCATCAAATATTTAAAAATCATGTGGGATTGATGGTCAATCAGAGAAATTTGGTAGTTACTGGTTAGATATCCCGGGAAACCTTAAGGTACATTGACTGCGGAGATATGACCAAAATGTGTTAAAGATATATTTAAAAAACAAGGAAACAAACAATTCTGAGGCCATATTATATATACATCAATGATTCTTGGAAGAATGAAATATTTTACAGGAAAGAGTGTTATAAATGTATAACGGAGACGTTAGGATACCTGATGACGGCCAGTGTACCCCAAGGTGCCAGTGTTATACCCAAATCTCCAGGACCGCCCCCTGCTGTCGACAGTAGTCGGATGTCCATAGAGGATGCTGAACAATATGTGAGTACCCATTTCAAAAATAGTTGTCATTTATGGGAGCTAAGTTTTCAAAAGTAACAAAACAATGTTTTATAGTAAGTATAGTAAAAGGAACAAAGTAATTTACTTTTGCTTCAATAAGTTTGTTGTTTTAGTTAAGTCATTGGCCTCTATAGCAGTGTGGTTAATATCATCTAGCTCGCTCGCAGAAGATTAGTGATTATAGTTTGGTGCCAGAAATAATGTATAAAGAAGCATGTAAGGTCTTCCTCCAACAATAAAGCAGGAATGTCACCATGTGATTTAACAGTTTTCGTGAGATTGAAAGCCAAACCAAATAAGAAAGTTTTGATTATTTTTTTAAGAGTTGTATTTATTGACTATGACTATTAAATCACTATTAGCACAGTATCAAGACAATTCCAATCAAAGACATGTTCAAATATTGTTTTGATAAATGTCTTTATATTTCTATGCAGAAAGCAGAGGTGTTTCGACTTGCGTTGAGGTCTGATGATGAATTGTTCCATGTGTCCTTATACGACTGGCTGTTCAGTATGAACATGACAGAAAAATTGTTAGAGGTAAGTGCATTTAATATTGTATTATATAATTTTATGATCACACAAGGGTTACCATTTAGATTTATTTTAGCAATGAACATGTCTCGGGTGATGTTATATCATATTAAATATTTGAATGGTGACATCAACAATTTGCCTACAGGTGCCACTAGTATGAAGACAGGCCTATATGCATGTCTTAGTGAAATTACTCATATTCCTATAGATATAATTTGCTCTAATTAGAAGGTCAAAGAACCAATTATTCCATTACACTATTCACATGATTTTGATGATTATTTAAACCAATTATCTGCTGAATTTGTTGTATGAATTTGCCCAGCTTTTAATTTGGAGTTTTCATTATCAAAATACAAAATTGAGCAACAATTACTGTACCAACAGTATAGAGTTCCTGGTCAGACTGCACAGATATGTGACAGATTAAGAGTTGGGAATGATAATTTATTTGATGATATTGAATATTTAACCATCTTCATTGTTTATCTTGGGGAAAAATCATAACAAATTAATTTTATTTGTAGATCCAGTCACCATTTTTGGAGCGGTTGAAGTTTATTTGATAATAGTGAACATTTAACCATCTTCATTGTTTGCTTGAATTTTTATCTCGGGTGAAAATTGAATACAAAATAATTTTATTTGTAGATACAGTCACCATTTTTAGAACAATATTTGAAACGTCGTTCAAGCTACCAGTCTGGAGATGTAGCTGCGCTTGATTTATTGTGGAAATATTACGAGAAAATTGAAAACTATCCTGCAGCTGCGAGAATATTAACCAGGCTAGCTGAGAGACATGGGTAAATGTGCTATTTTGACTACAATTGAAAAATCATTGTTTTTTTTTAAACTTAGTAGTATTGGATTAGCATTGAAGGGAAATAAATTAACAGTTTCAGGGTAAATGTTTCCCCACAATATAGATGATACTTGTTTTACCTTATCCTGCTAATGTAGTGTAATTAATTAAAACAATTATCCCTCTGTTTTCCCCCCATGTATTACAGCACTGATCTAGATCTACAGAAGCGTATTGTTTTACTGTCTCGTGCAATCATGTGTGCTAAGAGTTCATCATCTAGGTCAAGCTCTGCGGTGGAGGGAGAATTCTTACATGAACTAGAGGAAAAAATGGAGGTAAGGTTGGAATTGAGACATCATTTTACATGTCGGAGTCTTACTTGTCTGAACTCTGGCAATTAAAACTTTTTTGGGGAGTTTGGGTGAGTTTGAATTAGACAGGTTTCATTGGGCATTGGTTTCAAAGCCTTTAATAGCTTAAGGGTTAAGGTGTGTGATGTCTAATCACTTGTGCCTTAATGCTGTAGGTTTTAGACCCAGCCAAGGATTCCTGATTGTGAGGAAGCAATTCAACTAGCTTACAGAATGTAGAAGGTTCTGCTAAGGACTTTCTCAAATGCCCACTTGTGCCTGGAAGGAAGCAGAGACAGTCCCTCACCAGCAGTAAAGCTGAAAAGTCACCATATGACCATAACCTTGTTTTTCTGACTTTAAACAAGACCCCAACGAAAATATTTCCCATGAAAAGGGGCAAATGTTAATTTTAATTACTATTTAATTGTTGTATGTATGTGTAAACTTTGAATAGTCACAGGTTAAGAAAGTAATTATACAGATTCAAGCCAAACCTCTTAGTGGGGCCCATGCCCCTCTTTATACTATTTAAACCCAATCAAACATTAAACAACCAAACATCATGTTATTTGAATTGTAAAATGAAATGTAAATCTGAATTTTTCAGGTTGCTAGGTTACAGATGAATGTTCTGCGAGCACTAACACAGGAAACAGTTGGTGGTCCTGATGTACAGGAAGCGATGTCTCGGTTAGAGTCGGATCTCCTTGACATTACTATGGTAATATATACACTACTTCTTTAATATTATATATTACCATATGAGGGTGAATATTTGTATTGTTATGTACTTCAATGTTTTTATAGTTTGCTGGGCCATCAGGATCATTGATGACATTACAGAAAGTGTTGAAGATAAAGTACCGCTTAAGCCAATGCTAGGGGACGTGAGGGATGTTGGACTTTTCCATTATCCCTCTTGAACATAATGATTTGAACCGAGTCTGTAATTTTCATATTATTTTGTTGTTTCATTGCTTACAAGGGATCTCCCCTTTTCCAGATTTTCATTACTAACATTTAAAACCTCGGGTACAGTATTGGCCTCTGAGCTAGGAGGTAAAGGTCATTGACTCTAATTTACCTGCCCCTTATGCTGTGCGTTAGAATGTCACTGGAGACTTTGAATTTTTTCTTGTGAAGAGCTATCCAGCTAGTTTACAGACAGTTACTAGTTCTACTAGAGTGTAGTTCTACGAGATAGGATTATGTTTGGGGGCCTCCCACTATTTAGGCATGAAAGTCATTTTATGACTGTGATTAAAAAAAAAAACAATCTCAAAAGATAAAAAGGAAAGAAGAAAAAGAATATATATATTTAAACTTTTGTACCTTTTGTCTGAAGATATTTTATTCCTATATATGGTCAATGTTATGTATGACATTGACACTAACATGTTTCATGTTTATTACAGTTGTATGAGGAGTTTGCAGATAGATTTGATCTTTCTGAATGTAAATTATCCATTGTTCATTGTGCTGGCCTATATGATAATGCCCTTGTTGAGAATCTGTGGCAGAGTATTATAGATAAAGGTAAGTTCCTATATTATAGTCCGACCTTTGTTTGATAAACTTGACTATTTGAAGAATAGGGAAAGCTATTGTACTCACCCAGGCGTCGTCACACACTTTGGATATGTTTTCTCGTGCAATGAAATTGGTTGAAATTTCACTGTGTAATTTCAGAAATAGGAGGTTACTGTCCATTCTAAGGCCTATAACTCTAACTTGGATTTTAACAGAATTATGACCGTTTTGAATTTAGGAAATTCTACATTATCAAGGCTCTTGTTTTACAATCAAGAACTAGGAATAGTCTAGCACACTGTCCTACTGACAGATCTTGTTAAAGTATTATGCTGAACCAATTTTTTGCTCCCTGAAAAATTTCAGGGGAGCATATAGTCATCGGGTTGTCCGTCAGTCCGTCTGTATGAACCCAGAGGTACTTGTGTGACTGCGTAACAGTAAATTTTCTTTGATCCTATTCATTCCGTTTACTTGTGTGTCTTTTTTATGCCCCCACAATGTGGGAGCATATAGCGTTGCACTTGTCCGTCCGTCCGTACGTCCCGAAATCTTGTGAACGCAACTCCTCTTAAACCGCATGGCAGATTTTACTTAAACTTACAGGGATGAACAACCTTAATGTGTAGATGGTAGTAAAGGAATGAATTTTCGCTGCGACCAAATTTAACAGAATTATGGCCCTTTGTTGATTTTTTCACTAGATACTATGTAGAAATTTTGTGAACGCAACTCCTCTTAAACCGCATGGCAGATTTTGCTTAACCTTACAGGGATGAACAACCTTAATGTGTAGATGGTAGTAAAGGAAGGAATTTTTGCTGCGACCAAATTTAACAGAATTATGGCCCTTTGTTGATTTTTTCACTAGATACTATGTAGAATTTTGTGAACGCAACTCCTCTTAAACCGCATGGCAGATTTTGCTTAAACTTACAGGGATGAACAACCTTAATGTGTAGATGGTAGTAAAGGAAGGAATTTTTGCTGCGACCAAATTTAACAGAATTATGTTCCAGTGTTGATTTTTTCACTATATACTATGTAGAAATTTTGTGAATGCAACTCCTCTTAAACCGGATGGCAGATTTTGCTTAAACTTCCAAGGATGAACAACCTTTTTGTGTAGATGGCAGTAAAGGAAGGAATTTTTGCTGCAACCAAATTTAACAGAATTATTGCCCTTTGTTGTTTTTTTCATTATATACTATGTAGAAATTTTGTGAACGCAACTCCTCTTAAACCGCATGGCAGATTTTGCTCAAACTTCCAGGGATTAACAACCTTAATGTGTAGATGGTAGTAAAGGTAGGAATTTTTGCTGCGACCAAATTTAACAGAATTATGGCCCTTTGTTGATTTTTAGTTTCAACTTGTGGCACATGTAGTCCAAAAAATATTTGACCTAGAGTCATAAGATTGACAGAACAGTGGCGTGTGGGGGCATCCGTGTCCTATGGACACATTTCTAGTTTAAGCCTTGTGTGACCAAAAATGGCCAAAAAGATGAAAGGAAAAGTCACATAAGTACCATTTTGTGAGTCTGTTCGTACGTCCCGAATTCGCGTCCGGCCCATAACTGTGTAATTTGAAGTCGGATTTTTAAACTATTACACAGAAATGATCACCATATTGAGACGGCATGTGGCGCGCAACATTTGGGTCGCTGCCTTGACGGTCAAGGTCACAGCATGACCTTGCAGCAAAATCGTGTCCGGCCCATAACTTCCTTATTTGAAGTTGGATTTTAAAACTATTTCACAGAAATGATCACCATATTGAGACGATGTGTTGTGCGCAACATTTGGGTCACTCCCTTGAAGGTCAAGGTCACAGCATGACCTTGCAGCAAAATTGTGTCCGGCCCATTACTTTGATATTTGAAGTAGGATTATACAACTATTTCACAGAAATGATCACCATATTGAGACATTGTGTTGTGCTGTTTTTACGCTTTGAACTATGTCTGTGACATAACTCTGACACTACAAGAGGTATGCCTTCCTGCGTCCAAAACCTATTCGGGGAGCATCTCCCGGTTCAATCGGCTCTTGTTTTTTCTTGTATTTTTATATTTAAATTGAATGCAAGTATAGCTGAATGGTGAGTGAACCTGGAGATGAAATAATGATTATGTTTTTGTGCTGTTTGTCTGCTCTTAATGATTGAATCTACTTGTGTGACCAGTGCCGAGCAGCATCAACCGGTCTGATCATGGTCTGCACCTTTAGCTGAATGAGTTTAACGTTAAAATGACACAAACAAATGTATTGCTGAGGCTTCAAGTTTGTAAGTTTTGCTGTCATTTGATTTTGCAGAGTTTGAGAACACCCGGTCAAGTGCACCTCCTGTTAGAGTTAGAAACATCAGTAATAAGCTGTGTGTTGTTGGTAAAACTTACATTAAGGCAGAGAGATACTTTCCTTTTGGTAAGTTGGTATTTCCTATTTGTTTATATAAATCATTTGTAGGAGGTAGAGTGGATAGTTTTAGATAGTACGAGTGGTTAAGACTGCTGACTTCATATCTTGACTGCTGTGTGTTCAAATACAGCTAGAGCCTACTAATTCTTCTTTAATACAAAGGAACTATCATGCTAGCTTTTAAAATTTTGATGGTTTGACGTTTTACTGAAATAATGCACAAAACATCATTTCAGGTTTTCCTCCAAATAGTAAAAATTGAAATTTTACTACATAATTTTTTTTATTCAATAATTTTTGTATTTCCTTAGGGTTAGTAGCTGTATGTTTCTGTTTTTCTCCTATGTTTTTATTGAAACAATCAACATAATTTTATTCTCACCTTATGCAAAATTGAGACTTATTTTCCTGTTTGTTTTATTTTATTTGTTATTCTTTTATTTCATTTCATCAACATTTCTTCTTTTAACTATCATGAGATACCATCAGAAAACATATTTTTGTCCATTTAAATTTATCTTGGAGAAATCAACGGATTCTTTCCTTTTCTCATTTAAAATGTGTTAAATATTTATCTGCATTATTTTTAATTTGGTATGTCTTCATTTATTTAGTTTGATTAGTTTTTAATTCATGAATGTTCTTTTCCAGCTTTTATTGTAAAGTACCTAGAGCAAAGAAGTTGTGAATTGCAGTTGGATGTTGGTTGGGTGTTCCAGCTAATGTTAGATATTGGTGTACCAGCTTTAAGGTTGCTGGAATTATATGACCGGATGTTTAAATCTAGGGTATGATATAATTTTACTTTATTCAGACATGATTTTTTTTTTTGATTTTTTTTTCCAAATTACAGTTATAATTTTACCTCTGTGTATTTTTACTAACTTCACTTCAAGTATTTTGAGTGACTGAGTGGTTAACATTGTTGACTTCAAGCCACTTGCCCCTCACCACTGTGTGTTTGAATCCCGACATGGACTTTGGATTCTTTTATGTGAGAAAGCTATTCAGCTAGCTTACGGAACTTTGGTGGTTTTACTCAGGTGCCCGTTCGTGCCTGAAATAATGCACCTGAAGGGCACCCGAGGTCTTCCTACACCAATAAAGCTGGAACGTCGCCATATGACCTATACTGTGTCTGTGTGACGTAAAACCCAATCGAACAAGCTAACAAACTTCTAGTATTTTATAATTTTCAATGCAGTTATATACTGCTTTATATAACTTCACTAAGGTCAACAACAAAAAAGTCTGTTTTGTGTCCCATACCGTCCCTCTTTTTAAACTGTGAACCTTTACTAGTTAGTAGTAATTTTGTCCACTTCTCAAAGCAAAGCTTTTGTCATCACCCTATTGGTAGTGTCAGTGTTGGTTAACTTCTTTGGTTTAGTTTTTGTTTATATTCATTAACTTACTTAAAAAGCTATTTTATTAAAACTTAATATGTGGATGCAAATAAATGGGTTCTACATCCAAGAATATGTTACATATGTACCGCAAATGTTTATCCACATTATAAGTACATTTTGTAACCATTAAAATATATGCATTCATTTCTAATTGAAAAAATTTACTTACTCTTTATTGGAAATAATTTCTAATTACCTCCCTTTATTAACATGAAATGTAAATTCAGTAATATCCTTAAAAACAATTTTTTTGGAAACTATCATAAGTAGATGAGAGCAGCTTTGGGTTTATTAAAATATTACCTGAAATAAACTGATATGTACCAATTTATTAGCATTTGTTATCCTTCATCCTAATTATTATTTTTCAGGATCCATTCTGGTCATCTATCAACAGACCTCTACATCTTCTCTATGTTATACACAGTTTCTTGAACAAGCTCGTGGATAACATGTCACTTATACCTGTGTATGAAAGGTAACTAGTTTTTAGCTTTATTATTCCAAGAAAAGTGGGGCTATCCTTACTGATCTTGTACCAGTGTTACACTCATTAATATCTCATTTATCAACTAAAGATTTTCAACAGATATCCTTTTGTGTCTTTTTGGATCATAATTGTAGATTACTGAGTAAGACCCTTAACTCCAGCATATATTTTCTGTGAATTATTCCCCTTTGTAAACTCACAAGAATCCCTGCATTATCCGGGCTCTTGTTTTACTATGGAGCATGGCATTTTACTGGCAGTCTTTTTGAAAATTATTAGGTTGTGGCTCAATCCTCTGGCAAGGCAAAATATCTGTGATCACTGACCTCGAACATTGTATTAATCCCAAACTTTTAGGTCAATGGTCATTATTTTTTTACCAGAGATTCAGAAATCATGTTGGACTAGTAGTCAGTCTTTTAGGGATAAATCATAATTACTGGTAAGTTGTCAAAAAATATCCAGTAAGTTTAACTCACAGCCAAGATATGACCAAAACTTTGTTGAAATTCTTAAAATGTTTCTAGTTGCTTCTTGAATCAAATTTTACATTATATTTTGAAGGAATCAAGTCAAGTTTATATTGATGTGCTTTCTTATTGCCTTATTGCAGAAGACAGTTTGGAACTATGGGCCTCGATTATATAGCGTGTTATTTGGTAGAATTACAGTCAATAAGCAGTGTGGATGTGAATGTTCGTACCCTCGTCACAAACTTCAAAGGCCTTCAAGCAAAAATGGAAAGATTATGATGTTTGCTGAGAAGTACGGACAAAATTAACAAAAAAAGACGTTACAATTGGTCACAACAAAAAATGTGTTTTACAGAATGAAACAAAAATTATCTTACCTTTCAGAATGGGAATTTTGATGATGTGTGAAGATGGGCTATGCAGTTTTATGGCTTAGTAAATTAACAATGAGATACCGACCAAATACATGTAATCAAGTTGAATGAAATTAAAATGACAGTACTTAACAATTTCTTATATTGATCTGCCCATAAACATGACAGTACTAAATGATTTCCTCTATTGATCTGCCCATAAACATGAATTGTTTTAGAATAAAAGAATGTTGTAAATTATGAGACAAAAAGAATATGTGATTGTATATACATTTGTAATAGTTTTGTTGTGCGTAAAAATGTAAACTGAAATCTAAAAAAGAATGTTTAATTGATGATAAAATATTGTTTTCAAACTCTTCTTATGACATTGAAATTGAAAGAAAAATTGACTGTTTAACAAAAAAGTTTTTATTCAAATCATGGAAAATATACTGAACCAATTTTTGGACATTAATAACATGTGAAAAGTAAAAGAATTAAATTTTCTGTGAACAGAAATACTGATTTGTTAATAAGTGAGCTGCGTCATGACAAAACCAACATAGTGCGTTTGCTACCAGCATGGATCCAGACCAGCCTGCGCATCCGCGCAGTGGTGTGATCAGGATCCATGCTGTTTGCTATCAGTTTCTCTACTTGTAATAGGGTTTGTAAGCGAACAGCATGGATCCTGATCAGACTGCGCGGATGCGCAGGCTGGTCTGGATCCATGCTGGTCGCAAACGCATTACGTTGGTTTTGTCATGACGCGGCTCAAATCATGCTAGAAATAGAATACAACTTGTCATTTCTTACATTTAATTCTATATTGGTTATATAAGATCAAAAGATTTGTTAACTGTGAATAATGTGTTTGTATATAATGATTAGCTTAAGAAAATTAAACTTACAGCAAATATCGATTTATGTATGATTTATAACATACAGCATTGAATTTTTGCAAAATAAAAAGAATGTAAATTGATGAAGTTGGATTTATGTTTATGTAATAAAAGTCATCGCAAGTTGATGGTTGTTTTGTTAACACTAGTTTATAAGCTCCACATTTCAAGTCTTTATCAAAGCTATAGTTTTTTGGTTTTACTACATGTATATACATGTAAGGATAGCAAATGACTGGGTTCCCTGGGAGGGGATGGGCCAATTAGGATCCTAGGGTTATTATTTGAACATCTTTGACGGAAGACCTGTTGATGTGAAACACAACATGTACACCACATCACAGAAGTTGTAGGCTGTCGGTTCGGACAAGAAGGTTTTGGATTTTAATGACACCCGAGCATCTACTTGGCAGGATTGTTCCTTTGATAAAGCGCTTCCAAAGTTGTTCAAGAATTTGATCCCATGCAGAAATATGGGGTCAAAATTGGTCCCTCCCCGTGGGTCATTGATTTTCTTCTCTCAATTGACAAAGGCTAGAGGTCAGATATTTGGCATGAAAAATTGTTTAGTGGACCTCTACCAAGTTTGTACAAATCATAGCCCTGTGGTGAAAATTGGCCCCTTCCCGGTGTCATTGATTTTTATTATGACTGAATGTACAAAGCTTAGAGCTTTGATATTTGGTACATAATATCTACCAAAGTTGTTCAAATGCTCCTATTGTCAAAATTAGCCCTTCACTTGGGGTAGGGGGTCATAGGTTTTCCTTATATGTATTCGGGTAGTAAAAAACCTCTGAATTGACAAAGGCTAGGTTAGATCTCCTGTTCTTACACTACTATTTGGTGTTATATTAATGCGTTGCTTCTTGTTTTACACTGTATCCCACCAGAATCATTATTGACCAAGACTGTTAACTGGGCTTTTATTTTGAGGGGGAAATCCCCCTTTGTAAAATCAAAAAAAAAAATTTCTCTGAACCAGTACAAATTTTTTTTTTGTCCCAGTTCTGAAATATATTGCTTTTCATCTCAACTTTCAGGTCATCGTTTACATTGATTCCTTTCACTTAGCTAAATAGGGAGGGGAGAGCATCAGATTTTGTAAAACAAAGGTTTTGGTTAAAGCCTCTTGCACGGCGAATTATCTCGGTGATCACTGATATGGAACATTGAATTTATCTTGGACATTGAGTCTAGCAGTCATTTGTCTCTCGCCTCAATGGGACTAGTAGTAGTCATTCTTTCTGCGATTAATTATAATAACTGGTTTGTTATCCAGAAAGTCCAGTAAGGTTGACATGACCAAAAATTTGTTGGAACTTTTGCTAAAAGACAGACAAATATTTTTTATAATACTACTACAGTTGCTTCTTGAATCAAATTTTACTCATACCATCGAAGGAATCAATTGGCGAAAGCACCCAACAATGTGTTGTCTTTTGCATCAAACCGTTGATGGAGATGAACTTTGATATACAATCTATTTATGGATATAAAAATCAACTTTAACTGTGGTTTTAGCTCGATACTTTTTCTTTCCACAACCGTTATATTCTATTATAGAAATGATGGCTTTTTCTGCTTGTTTTTTCCCCTAAAGTTTTGTATTAATTAATATGTTACTTGAATTAATTGGCATTGACCGTGGTATCGCATAAATACGCGGTACCTAATTCTCCCACATTAACACACATGTATTTATTACATGGAAGTGCTAAATCTAATGTTTTCAAATTATAAGTCACGTAAGCATACATATTTTGTATAAATAAGTAGATACAGTTGAAAATACATGTTAATCACATACCCGTGTCGATTACCCGACTCCGTAAACTTAAAGTCTCCTTTACAAACAAAGGCATAAATTTCTCCTTTACAAACATAAGCATAAATTTTAATGAACTTTTACAATAATAGTCAATATGAATCCTAAAACTAAAAACCCTATTAGTTAAACACGTCAAAACTCGTGCGATTTAGTAGAAACTGGAAGTATAAAATGTCTACCTGTTGACATTTATTTGGATTAGGTTATAAAAGTAAGTGAGCATTTTTAAATTGATTATGATCGTCAGATACATCAATCATAATTTAACCGGAATAATCTTTAGCAAGTGTTTATTAGACGGACATACTTTCTCCAGCCGCCCAAATGACTGGGTGTGTAGAACCTGCAATCGGCCTGGACACAAAGCTTCGGATTGTCTTTATAATAACGCCATAGAATCAGAACCCGACGCCGATTCTGAAACTGGTTCCGAGCAATCCAGCGACTCTACATGCATCTCTGAAGTACATTTTAAAAGCTCTAGTTCCGCTGTTCAAGCGCAAGGCCCAAGACCGGGGGCAACAATATCAACATCTCCATTAGCATCATCGGGAATAGGTCGTGGCTCTATATTACAGAAGTCCATGGGGGAAAGTATTCTTCAAACAAGGACAAACCTCAACTTGTTAAAGAGCGTTCACCGCCAACACCCTCTGACGAGTACAGGGAGAAATGTAACGTTAAATCCACCAAGAAACATCACAGAAGTAAATGATTGCTGTATCTTTTAATGTCACTTGGAACATTGTTTGTTTTACAAACGTGCTATGTTTTATGGACATGAAACAGAACAACGATTATAACTGGAACACATTTGGACTTTCAATTTTTCAATTTTATCAAGCATTCATATACCGATGCAGTGTACTTACATGTTGCGGTGCATAGGAAATTGATTTTTGAAAATTATACATGTATGTTTAATTTATATCAAGTTAATACAATTTATGTAAATTTGTTTTATGTCCGCGTAAAAGATTTGTATAGCAAATCTCTGATGCTTAAAACAAATATTCTAAGATGTTATCAATATATTAATGTATGTTCATTAATCTTAATGTTTTTGATACATTCTATTAATTTTATATGTTAACGAAACCACAATTTTTTTTCACAATTTATACATGTACTTTGGAAATTTACTTTCGTTCCATGCTTCAGTGCAATTGCTTCCAAATCCGAAGCTTTTGTAAAATATGGGGCATTACAAGAAAGCTACATTTTGATATTGCATTTTCGAAACCTTTTGTTTCGCGATTTCGTCAAGACTTCAAGAATTATGCGTTTATCACAAGCTTACACATTGTACATGTCAAGTTACAAGATATATTTTACGTGTTTTAATTCAATAAGTCAATTAATTTCTCAATATGTCTATTTATAAACTTCATATTGGTTCCCTTAATGTACAGGGATTACGTGCGAAGCCCAAACGTTTACGGTTTTTAGAATGGGTTAATCAACAAAAATTAGATATAATTATCATTTCTCCAAGAAACTCACTTTACAAATGATATTTTGGAAGATGTTAAAACAGATTTTAAAGATTATCGTATTTACAATGCATTTGGACCTACAACTCACTCAAAAGGTTGCACTATATTAGTTCGCAAAAATATGTGCATTGAATATAATGTCATAAATGATATAATTGACGAAGAGTCTGGGAGATTTGTGCTTTTAAATATTGACTTCTCGGGAACAGTTTTCACTTTTGTTAACATATACGCACCAAATGACAAACGTTGTAGAAATAACTTTTTTGAACTTATTAACAATAAGATTGAAGAAGAATCATTAGGCTTAAAAATAATAGGAGGAGACTTTAATGATGTACTCAACGAAACAGACAGGTATACTCATTCTAACTCGCGCACTAAAACATCTGAAAAGCTTAAAAATCTAATACATTCACATAGTCTATGTGATATCTGGAAACTTAAATATATAAATAAAATTCAATTTACTAGTACTTGGAAACGGACTAATGGCGCGGTAAAAAGACGCATTGATTTTTGGTTTATTGAAAAAAGCATGTCGCCTTTAATCGCCAGCTGCGACATAAGACCTGCACAAATAATGTACACTGACCACTTAGGTATCAGTCTAAAAGTAAATATTCCTAGTCATCGCGGTCCAGGTTATTGGAAGTTGAATAATTCTCATTTAGAAGATAATGAATATAAAAATCTTATCATAAATACCATTAGTTCTGTTCAAAATGAATTCAAATCTCATGACATTGATCATAGAACAATGTGGGAAATATTAAAATACAATATTAAAGAAAAAGTATAATTTATTTCTTAAAACTGAAAGCTAAACATAATAGAAACCGATTAACGAGTTTAGAAAAAAGACTTTCGCAGCTATACGAAGAATTTCAGATACATTACTTAAACAAATAAAAGATTTAGAAATCGAAATCGAGACGATATATATAAATAAAGCAAACGGTGCAAAAATACGCTCACGTGTACAGCTCATCGATGAAGGTGAGAAAAATACGAATTATTTCCATTCGTTAGAAAAATCGAAACAAACGAAAAAAGTTCTTAACTCGTTAAAAATTGACGGAAAACAAATAACAAACTTTGAAGAAGTAATGAACGAAGAGGTAAAATTTTACAAAAATCTACAAAAAAGGTAGACAGCGAGAATTTAAGGGATTTTTCCGATAACACTGTTTTTAAGAAAACACTAAAAGACAAAGACTCGGAAGACTTAGAATGTTTAATAAATATAAATGAATGCGAAAGCGCACTTCTCAGCATGAAAACCAACAAAAGTCCAGGTAATGACGGACTTTTTTATTTTTATTAGTTAATTGTTATAACGAAATACACAAAGAAACCGAACTTTCAGCTTCTCAGAAAATCGGTGTACAAAAAAGGAGACCCAGAAAATATTGAACGACTACAAAATTTTAACTCGGGTACTCGCGATTAGGTTACAAAAAGTACTTCCGAAAATTATAGACAGCGATTAACAAGGTTGCATAAAAAATCGTTTTATTGGTAATAACATACGACAAATATCAGACATTATTGACTATTGCGGAAAAAATAACATTGATGGAAACCTTTTGTTTTTAGATTTTAGAAAGGCTTTCGATACGATCGAGTTTGACTTTCTAGTTAAAACCCTTGAAAAGTTTAACTTTAACCCAATGTTTATTCGCTGGATACCGTCTCTTTACAATAATATTTCGTCATGTATATTAAACAATGGTTGGATATCGAAACTTTTCTCTCTAACACGTGGTCTCAGACAGGGATGCGGAACTTCTTCTTTGCTTTTTATCATCGTTGCCGAGGTCCTAGCTAATTCAATTCGAGAGAATAATGACATTAACGGAATCTCAATAAAAATAAACAATGAAACTTTTAATCTTAAAATGACACAACTAGCCGACGATACTACAATGTTCTTAAAAAGCACAGAAGACATACAAAAAGCATTATCAACTATTGAAATTTTTGGAAAACATTCTGGTCTACAACTAAATTTGCACAAGACAGAAGGTGTTAGATTAGGGAATAACTTTGATAATTTAAAATTAACTAACATAAAATGGAGCGAAAAAGTGAAAGCTTTAGGCGTCTTTTTTGGCACAAATAAAAAAGAATGCGAACAATTAAAATGGGAAACGAAAATTCAAAACTGTAAAATCTTAATTAATTCATGGAAGAAAAGAAAACTTATTATTTATGGACGACTCACTGTTATAAAATCAATTATACTTCCAAAATTTACCTACTTATTGCAATCACTGTACTTTCCAGAAGAGGTACAGAAAAAACTCAACTCATTATTATATACATACCTCTGGGACGATAAACGTGAAAAGGTTAAAAGAAATATATTGATAAACGATCTTGAAAAAGGCGACATTGAAAGTTTTGTTACTATGTTGCAAATTAAATGGGTAAAATCCCTACTTTCTAATGAATTTGCAAACTGGAAAGTCATTCCAAGTTATTTCTTAAACAAATTCGGCAAGAATTTCCTTGTTTTTTTACATGAACTTAAAATCTGTCTCAAGTTTACCAAAAGACTATTATACTTTACCTGATTTCTATAAAGAACTTATTAAAAATGGATTTTATTTAAAAAATATTAATAAGAAGCAGCCAAAACACTTCTTTGATATTCGTAAAGAAATAATTTGGGGTAATGAACAAATTTTATGGAATAAAAAGTCTTTATATTTTCATAATTGAATAAACTCTGACATAATTTTTGTAAATGATATTATCGATGCAAATGGCGATATAAGTGAACATCTTATTCTTTCAAAACTCAGAAATAAATCAAATTTGTTATCCGAAATTTATACGCTACGTAAAGCTATACCGCAACTCTGGAAATTCATCTTAAAATCGGACGAATCAATCAAAACTAGGGTAAAAACTGACTTTTCTCCTTTACTTACAAAAGAATCGAACAAAGGGATTTATAACATACTTAGAAACAATAAAGCGGAAAAACCATACATTCATGGCCTATGGGAAATTTTATTTGAACATGACATTCCGTGGAATAAAGTATACCTGAATATAAAATCAAGCATCGACAATAGATATAAACAGTTCCGTTATAAACTCATTCATAATATAATACCGACAGGGGATAACTTATACAAATGGAAATTGAAAAATAGTCCGAAATGCGTTTTATGCAATTGTACTGATAGCACAGAACATTTCTTTATTCATTGTCAATCACTTAATGCTTTCTGGAAAAGAATTATTGAAACTTTTAAGTCGCTAGGAATCTGTAAACATATTTTCAATCTCAAAAATATTGTACTAGGTTATAGTTTCGAAAATACGCAGCAATCAAATCTTTGGCATATTAATTTGATCTTTACAATTATTGGCTTTAGTATATACAAAGCTTATATGATGAGTAACCAACGTGCCGATACTATTAACATTAATGGAATCTTTCTACACGAACTTAACAATATGAAACTATACCTCGTTCATAAGAAATATAATTCTCATTTTATTAAACGCTTTACAACAAACTTTTAATATTGTCAGATATGTTAAAAGATGAGTAAAATTACGTTGTAATATCTTATTACAGCTATGTATACCTTTTTCTTAACTGTAATTCTAATATAATATCATACATGTATTTGATATGTTAAATGCACTTACTGTACAAGTATTAAATGAAAATGTTCTTTGTGCAAATGTTTTTAAAGTTTTTAAATAAAAGATAAAAAAAAATCTTTATTTTCCATTGGATTTCAAATTAGTTATAGATGACCAAAGATTACACCTTCTCTTTTTGCTTATATTTAAAACCATGTGTTAGAACTACTTTCAATCCGTATTAAGTCCGAGGTTATTATTGATAATACCCGAGATGTTCCGATTGATAAAATGTATGACCTGGACACTAGTAATATATGCCGACCTATAAGTCAGGTCCTTAATCTTGCCCGTGGTTGATAACGATAAGATAATATGTCAAAGGTTATAACATCTAGGTTAACCTTTACAAGCGGTTCATGAACTTTATGGAAAAAAGTATGACAGTGTTTAATTTCATTACAGTAAGGACCAAGATACTTCATCATTTCTTTTTTCACTGCTAATCAATAACGATGTCTTTAAATCTTGCAGGAAAGAAGTTCTTGGTCACAGGTGCAAGCCGTGGAATCGGTCGGGCTCTCTCGAAGACTTTAAGTGAACAAGGATGTAAAGTTTATGCTTTAAGTCGTACACAGGAGACATTGGATACTTTGGCGAAAGAAAACACGAACATACACACGATTCAAGCAGACGTTAGTAATTGGGACGAATTGAAAGACAAACTTGCTGGTATTGAAGTTCTCGATGGTTTAGTAAATAATGCCGCCCTAACAGAGGAAATATCAGGCCCTGTATTGGATGTTTCTAAAGAGTTTTTACAAAAGAGTTTCCAAACAAATCTATTTGCGTCAATAAACACAACACAGATTATAGGAAAGAAAATGGTTGCTGCTAAAAAGCCAGGATCGATTGTGAATGTGTCTAGTGTATTTTCTCTACAGAGTTTCCCACATCATTTAGCTTACGATTCATCGAAGGCAGCTCTTGATATGGTCACGAAGCAGTTTGCTTTGGAGTTAGGACCGTATAATATACGGGTAAACAGTATTAATCCAACTCTTGTTATGACTGAGAATGTGAAAAAGTTTATTAAAGAGTTGTCACCATTCGATGAACTTATTATCGGCAAGACACCATTGGGGCGACTCCCAGAGATGAAAGAAGTAATTTTCCCAATGCTATATCTCCTCAGTGACTTGTCGTCTTGTGTTTCTGGAACAACACACATCGTAGATGGAGCAATGATGTCATCTTTTGTAACAAAATTCTAGTGTAGTTTAACTGTGATTCATTCTTGATGGTTCCTGTCATAAACACACAGACACAGTCAATGAAATAAACATAAAAATGACATTTTAAAGCTTTATTAGCAAGCACAGCAGGACATGTTTTACCGCGTGTGATTTCTTTATCTTTAAGACATACTTGTACTTTTTATACTGTCTAATAAATTATAATAGATAATGACCAATTGTCATTTTCTTTGAAATAAAAACTTTTTAGTAAAATATCGTAATTGATGCTCATTTTCTTTTTTCCTCGCTATATATTTATATACATTTTACAATTGCCTAATTAAAAGGGCATCGAATTAAGACGGGATTAGCAATATTTTTTCATGATTTTTGTACCATTCGGTGTCGCTCACTGAACAATGATCCAGCAAGAACCGGTTGAACCGGGTGATGCTCCCCGATTATGGTTTTGGACACAGTCCTGAAAGTATACTTCTTGTAGTGTCAGAGTTATGTCACAGACAAAGTTCAAAGTGAAAAGAATGAACAAAGGGGAAATAACTCCAAAATGAAGCAAGGCAGAGTTAAGGTTCTTTTGCACTGCACTTCTACTAAATGAGATCAATGTTCCTACAAAGTTTCCTGTTGATATCTCTTACAGTTTTAAAGTTATGACCCGGACAAAGTTCAAAATGTAAAAATAAACAAAGGGACAATAACTCCAAAATTAGGCAAGACAGAGTTATTGTTATTCTCCACTGCACTTCTACCCAATGAGAACTATCGACGTACAAAGTCTCATGCTGATATCTCTTAAAGTTATGTCTCGGACAAGAATAGCGGACAGACGGACTGACAGACGGACGGACAGACAAAGCGGCGACGATATGCTCACCCGTAGGGGAGCATAAAATGAAAAGCGTTTTAAAGGTTTTACCCCAAATCGAGCTAAGAAACTTCACAAAACATTGGTTTTGAATTATTCCTAAAAATACTTCATTATCTTTTGTATATTTTTTTCTTTAAAGCCATGAAATACTTAATTATATTGGAAATATTGTAGAATAGTAGGAGACAATTTTGAGGATCCTATAAAAAAAGAATCAAATAATGCAGCAACATTCAGACGGTAAAGAAATATCACACATGTAAAAACGGCTCATACACAAAGTTTAAACTGATTGCAGCTCTAAAAGACACACCCCAATATTCGATTGTCGCTCATTTCATTTAAGTAATGAATCTGGGATTAAAGGATCTTACTTTTACTTTTGCTAGAAGTAAATTTAATTGTATGACCCATTGGCATCTTGTGCTGATGCAGTGAGTCCTGGGGTGTCAACTCAATGACCTCCTCTTCAAAAGGCGTATTTAACAATAGTTAAAAGGTGGAAATTTTAGTATCGGCTTGATCGAGTCTGTCCATGAGAAAGATGCAACATCTGTCACTTGCTCCACCGCATTCCCCAGAACCGGCTAAAACTTAAACCTATGCATGAAAGTCAACTGCTTTTTTAGCTCAAAAGGTCCAAGAAAATTGGGGCTATCCCAATTGCTCTTGTGCTAGTGTAACACTCGGTCAAGATTATGTTTGCAAGTTTATTTCTCATTTATCAACCGATTAAGATTTTCACTAGATATTCTTTGGGATTTAATTGTAAATTACTAAGACACCCCAGCTTTAATTTCACTAAATTCTTCCCCCTTTATAAAGTCACAAGAGCTCCTGCATTAACCAGGCTCCTGTTTAACTTTCAACATTCGGCGTTTTGACTGACAGTATTTCTGAAGATTATTAGTTATATTATGTAACTGATTTTGCTAGTCATCATTTATGTTATTTCATTTCTCTTATCTTGATAGGGCCGGAGAGCTTCTGAGTCAATACTCCAGATGTTGTTGTTCAATCCTCTGGCGAGGCAAAATATCTGTGACCACTGATCTCGAACATTTGAATTGCTCTTGAAAAAGTGAGTCTGGGGTCATTTGTCTTCCTGCAGATTCAGAAATCATATGGGTCTAGTTTGGGGATTAATTGTAAATACTGGTAATTTATCAAAAAGGAATCCGTTACGGAGGAATCAATTCAAATATATATTGATGTGCTTTTATTGCCTTATTACAGGTGACAGTCACAGACACCTTGGGGTGTGGAGCTCGAAACTCCTTTAAAATCCAAATAAAATGCATGAACTGTTTTGGAATTAAAGGAATTTTGTAAATTATGTGACAGAGGATATGTGATTGTATATAATAGTTGTGTGTAAAAAATCAAAACACCTGCACAAAACAAATAAATATGTAATTGGTGATAAAATATTGTTGTCAAACTCTTCTTAAGACATTGAGTTTATAAGAAAAATTGACTGCTAAACAAATCGTTTTTATTCAAATTATGAAAAATATACTGAACCAATTTATAGAAATTGATAAGTTATGAAAAGTAAAAGAATTTAATTTTCTATGATCAAAAATATTGTTGTTTATTAGTCTAATGTGTTGATAAAACAGGCTAAAAATAGAATACAACTTTTCATTCCTTACATTCAATTCTATATTGGTTATATAAGACCAAGAGAGTTGTTTATCAATTAATGGTGAATTATGTGTTTGTCTGAGAAAATTGGGAAAAAATCGACATTCATGTACGATTTATTATTTTCAGCATTGATTTTTTTTGCAATATAAAAAGAATGAAAATTAATATATTTGGATTTATATTTATGTTATAAAAGTTACCACAAGCTGACTGTTGTTTTTGTTAACACTAGTTTAAAAACTCCACTTTTCAAGTCTTAATCAAGAATTAGTTCTTGGGTTTTCACAGAAGATGATTTTTAAAATGTTACTGCATGTATATACATATAAGGAAAATCAATAACCAACTTTCTTGGTTCCCTGGGAGTGGCCAATTAGGACCCTAGGGTTCTTATTTGAACATCTTTGATGGAGGACCCGTTGATGCGAAACACAACATGTAAACAACATAACTAGAATTGTAGGGTTGGTACTTTGTGACAAGATAATTTTAGAGAGAAAAAATTGCACTGACCGACCAAAAACATTTGAAGAACTTTGATAGGGAACAACTCGATTATCAATCATGTATAAGTCGGTTAATTTTTTTTTTTTGTTGTTGTTTATTTTTTTTTTATTTTTTATTATATTTTTTTTTCTCAAAAAATCTATTATGATCTTTAAGATAATGAATAATCATCAGGCCCCTTCCTATTAATGGAATAATACAATTTTATCGTCAGATGTTCATACTCGCGTTTTGCGTTCAACTTTACACCCTAGACCAAATACTGAACAATTTCGTAGGTCTTTTGTTTACTCTGGATCTTGTATTTGGAACGGCCTTCCTGATTATATCATCAACCCTGCTACATCTGTGAACCATTTTAAAACCTTATACTAGAGATATCCACACATCGATGTATACAAATTGATTATCTCCTATATGTCATTAAATTTATGTATACATTTATCTAAAAGTTTGAATATGTTAAATTTGTATTGTTCCTTGTTGAGGGCCTCATAGAAGATTGATATGTTGTTCAATTGAGTTAATTCTTTTGTTAAATAAAGTCTTCATTATTATTACATGTATTATCTTTTTAGTCGAGTAGATGTTGTTTAATGAAATTGTTGACGGACAGAAGAAGATCACCATGAGCATGTACAGTATTATACTATAGATCCCGGTCAGATAACAAGGACATGTAGGGTTAATGTCAGCTGTGCCATCAGTACAGAGCTTACCTATAGAGTACACATCCAAGCCGGCTTTGTACTGTTGGTTGACAAACTTTCAAATGACCTCCGCGATCTCTGTGCTTCAATTTATTTATAGCTGAATGTTCCAAAAAGGTAGTTGGGCAAGAGTGTTGCACAAATTCAAATGTATGCTTTTTAAAAGTAAAGTTATGACAAAATCTTAATGGCAGGTTAGATCTATGTCCTTCTCTGTATTCATTATTTTAGAAAATTATAATTTCCTTTGATTATCAATCATTTTCATATCCTTGTATTTTAACTAACAACGTTTTTCGCTCTTAAGTTCCACTTTTTAAAGCACGATTTTAATTTTGGAAGCAGCTTCATATACGCACCAATATCAAGATGATCAATTTAAAGAAACATGATAATTTAACACTGTTCTTCACTTGGTTTAAGGCGGTAGATGCATGTATATTGTTTCAACCCTTTGACAACTAATGACAACTGCTTATACCTATGTGACCAGTGCAGACCACAATCAGTCGGTAGAGCCCTGCTTGTCACACAATATCCTCTATTTAGATGTATATTGGCATTCTGGGCAAAATCTATGAGTGCATGTATTAACATACAGATAAAAATCAAGATCTTTTCTTAACAACGTCATTTTAACTGAGCTTATTTTTTAATTCTGAGCTTAAAGTGCTTATGGTGAGCTATTGTGATCCCCACAGTCGTGCGTCGTCAACAGTTGGTACCCTTTCAAAGTTGTTCAAATGATTCCGGTCTGTTGCTTAAGTAAGTCCCGTGGCCAGAACTGTTTCAAAACTTCAATTTAAAAAATCTTAATGTCTGAATGTACGAGGCCCAGAGCTTTGATATTTGGTATATGATATCATCTATATGTCCTTTACCAAAGTCGTTCAAATTGTGTCCCTAGTGTCAAAATTAGGTCATAGGTTTTCCTTAAATGGGTATAGTAAAAACTTTTCAGAATTGAAAAGGCTAGAGGTTAGATATTTGGAATGAACATTGTGTAGGAAACCTCTACCAAAATTGTTCAAATTATAGCCCAGGGGACAGAGTTGACCCCTCCCCGGGGGCTATTGATTTTCATTATGTACATAAAGTAAAAACTTTATAAAGTAAAAAATAATCTTGTTTGAAGGTACAAGGCTTAGTGTTTATAACATCATCTATAGGTCCTCTACTAAAGATATTCAAACTTTGCCCCTTGTGTCAATATTGGTCACGCCCCGGAGGTCTTAGGTTTTCCTTATAAGAATATAGATGAAGATTGAGAAATATGTATTCAGATTTTAAGGAAAGTAAAAAGGTTCAAGATTCACATTATAATTTACATGATATGTGCGATATTAATAACTGATTTTGCAGTATTTTGCACCATATTTCTACTGCGTTACTAACGCAGTAAGGGTTTTTAATGCATATTTTGACCGCTTTATTGCAATTTCAGTGGATTGTAAGTACGTACTTTTTTCAATGTGTAATT